CAAGTGCAACGAAGCAAATCAAGAAAGATTTTAATGTTTTCCGAACCGTGTGTGGGATATTCATGAATTCGAATGTGAAATTGGCAGGTTTCGCAGCTTTGCCAATGCTTTCCCGGTCGGATTTGCAAAAAGTGACGAAGTGCAGAGAGTGCAGGGAGAGAATTATCACCTCGGATGACCTGAGTAACCTAGAAAATTTCTGCAACTTCTTATCTCGGCAGGGAATTGTGCTGGAAAATCCCTCGGATCATGATCCCGAGTCCCCGATAGCTAAGACCTTCAAGGGCATATTTGACCTTTACGTATGTGCTGCATCTGCCGTTGACATTCCTCGAAATCCAACCCAACTGTTCACCAGGAGCGAAGAACAAATGAAACAGCTGAATGCTATGTTTACTCCCCTGCAGAGAGTAATTGTGATGAGCGAAGCGAAGGTTACCTTCATGTGTGGGGCCAGTGGGACAGGAAAAACTTTCCTCATCACGAAAAGGGCATTGGAATTGGCAAAGAGAGGTGAAGTATTGGTGATCATGGCTTCTGGAAAAATCAAAACTTCTAAGGAGTTTCAACAAGATTTCAACGGTGAGACGACGTCGCACATATAACCAATTCAATTTCCGCGCAAGCATGTCTCGTTCTTCTGAAACCGAGATTGCTAAGCGCATGATACCATGGCCTTTGCGTTCATTTATTTATCCTGTACCACCTCTTCGAGATTCCGATTTCACTAGCCTTGTAATGCGCATGATCGTCTTTAGCGGAAGTGATCCTCTCAGTAAATACGAGGGTGATTCGATAGAAAACAATAATTTCGTTATAACACCCGTGTAATACGGACGCTTTTATCATAGTGGCACACACATTATCCCCGAACGAGCTATGATGGAATGAAAAAAAAATGTATTTGCCATGACTGCCGATAACCACTCTGACTTCCTTGGGATTCAAAGCGGTTCTTCAAATGGGTCTTGCTTTAGAATTGATAACGAATATCCATTTAGTATTTAATTATTTCTCATGTGATACCCATGACGTCCGTTTGCATTATATCATAAATTCAAGGGTTTGGTCAGTTCAGAAATAGAAAATGAAAGACCCTTTTTCCCTCATAACTGTCAGGATTTCAAAACGTTACTTCGATGGACTAGAACATATGGAGTCGTATTTGGAGTTGATATCGCTTCCTTCAGAGTATAATTTATCTATTGGAATATCATCATTGGAAGCAAATGTCAGGTATGGGAAATCTTTTTAACTCCAGTTAATCTCTTTATTTGAACTTCATGTCTGGTTTTTATTCACATCAGGGTGCGTATCTTTCATTGGTATGTTAAATTACATGACCTGAATGGATACAGGTTCATCTGTGTGAGACATTACAAAACATGTTGCGTGCGTGACAAATGTATACCATATGAAAGGAACCCTGGTACGTGTTTGTCTCCATAGGAAACACGAAGATACGAGTCGTTGATTGGAGGCAAAGTGGGACAGATCAGAACCTGGAAGCTTTGAAGAGTTTTATTGAACGTATCGGGAATGGAAAGCATGTTCTTATCGACGACGTCCCGATAGACCTTGGATTTTCGGGAAATCCAACCGCAGATGCTCTTTCCACTCACTGGGGATGCATTGTGGACGTGAGGAATCATATAGAGAGCATCACAATCGCGTTCAGGCTTACTGACCAGTTCCACCCTGTAAATTCGTCTGTGCTCGATGTGAAGCCTAGAGGCATCCATATGAAATATCTTGAAAGAGTGAGAAGGAACAGTGGGAGAATAACAGAGCTGCTCCATGCCATTAATGAATATTCTCGTCGGATCTTCTTCTTACGCGAGAAGACACTTCATTTCGAAATAGAAGAACGTAGGAGGGGTTTCCTCCCCGTCCTCTTTCCGCTTCCCTCTTGCTA